AGTCTTACACTGGCAAATTAGGGACGGCTAGCGCAGATAGCCCTCGTGTAGCTTTGCGCGAAATTCAAAAAACAAACAAACAAACAGCTCATTTATTTACTGTCAAAATGATGTTTTGCTCGTCTAGGAAGAACTAATTATGAAGATAAGATTAAACGATGTAAGTTGCTTAAATTGTTTCTTACACTGGCAAAACAGGTACAAACAAAGTACCGTATTAATGTTTGTTGATATCGTTTTGATTAGGACTGTTCTATTTCTTGATCTTTAAAATCCATAAAAGTAAATACATTTTAGTAAATTGCAGATGTAATCTCAAACAAAACATTGAAGTTCTTTATACTGGTTTTTGATACACGAAGACCTTTCTTGACATGCAGGACTGACCATTTTAAAATTACACATCACATAGTTTAATTTCATTAAAGTGTTAAGACAAGGCTTTAGTTCTTTTATAAATATTTACCTTGCTATTGGTACTATGAAAAAAATCTCTCGAAAATTAATTCATTAATTTCACACCATAAAAAATGTATGTGCAATTATTATCATTTATTATTATAATAGCAAGGAAATACATTCATATGGTCTACAATGATTTAATGGGAAACGGTAAGTCCACAGATTTACAACGTTAAAATCAGAGGTTTGACTCCACGCGGTGGACACACCACATAGCCTAATATGGCTCCGCTCTAAAACAAACAAACAATGATTTACGTTCCCACGTTAAAGGTAATATGTCCAACATCTAACTCCACTGTCTATCACAGACAACACGACTAACACACGTTCCTTTACTATAAGAAAATATACATATTATGATACGATAAAGTGTCTATAAAATTCTTGATTCCAGAGGAAGAAACTTGGTGTATCATAAACACTTACGAAACTAAAATGTTTATAAAGATAACCCACATTTTATTGAATAAACAATATATTTGTACAAACGTATTTGTGTGGAAAAGTCGTGTAGCTGTGAATATGCTTAAAATATATCGAGCAAGTGGAAGTTCTCATTCTAATTGAAATATATTTATATATCGTAACTTTACGTTGGAAACCTCAGAATATCTCGATTTTATTTCTAAACATCCTATCTTCCATAAAGCTATTTATGGTCGTTAAAATTCCAAGAAGTAAAAAAAACCAGAATTTTTGTTCAAATGAATCAGAAAAACTTGAAAAAATTATAATATAAAAAAAGCCCATTAAAACGTGATGTATATCGTATCCGACTTACTGAACAAAATACATTAACTAACGAAAAAAATCACAATTCTCACCTACAACAGCCGCAGTGTTCCTGTAAACCAAAGGATTGTCTGAAAAAAACTAAAATACCTAAAGTCGTTTGTTTGTAAGTAAGCACAAAGCTACACAATGGGCTATATGTGCTCTAACCACCAGGGGTATCGAAACAGACATACCGCTGTGCTATTGGGGAGAAAAGTCGTTTGTATTTGTTTAATAAATGAAATTTTGGCTTGGCCAACAACCACTCATAGTAAAGTTTCGAATATACAACTTAAAGATGAAGAGGCTAATTTACCCAATAAAAAATAATAATTTTGTTAAAATATAGCTAAATACATTTCAGCTAAAGAATTCGCTAAATGAAGTAAATTTCGAGAAAAAAAACTACAGTAAAGTCAAATGTTGAGCGTCAAATTAAGTAAAAACAACATTTTGGTGTTATAAGGTCGTTTATTTCTAGTATTAATACGTTAAAAGTTTGTTTGATCCAATAGCGACCAAGTTGTAATAAACTGACCTATAACTGATATTAATATATCAAGTTAAGCTATGTATACCTAATTATTATTTCGAAACTAACCATCTTTTTTTATAACAAACTTAAGTATATTATGTAAAGCTATTCATTATTTAGATAATATCTAAATATTATAACAAAAACACGTGTAAAAAATGGTTATAACATACCTGTATGTATTCCTCGTCAATTAAGAGGGGCTGACAACGAGAATAATCTGCTCGAGAAGCCCACGTGCCGTTTTCAAGACACAATCGGGTAGCGTTCTCTGAAATTGTTACATAAAAACAACATGATGCGTGTAAAACGTAAAGCTCGATAACAAGCAAATATCGAAAATTAATGGATGCAATGTTAACGTATGACTACTTCTACTATAGCAACAACCTGTTGTACTAGTACCTTCGCAATTTTGAGATTACGTTTCGCAGTATAAATTATTTTTCATAAGCCAATTTAAAATATGCAGACTTATTTTTAAAAATTGGGTATTTAGAGTGATTCTGTAAGAAGATATAATGTTATTTCATAATTCCTACGGTTGATAACAAGTTCAGTGTTAAAAAAGTATACATGTTTGAAGATGAAAGTTAACTACGATATCATAATTTTAGATAAATAAATAAATAAAGTTGATCTAAGTTCATATATTAGGAATTTTAGAACATAATATGAATAACTTAGAATTCTAAGATATGAACAAGCCCACGGATGATCCACGACTTCTACTAAGTTTACTTAAGACAATAATTTCAGAATGCGCAGTAAAGAAATAAAACAAAATAATCTAGAGAAGAGGAAGTAAAAAAAGCGTAAATACAACAAAAGTGTGGGTCGTGAAACTGTAAATTAAACTTTAAAATACTGCAATTTTTATGTGTTATGCACTTCAAGCCTACTACATGGGAAATAATTCAGCAAAAACAGCAACATTTTATGAAAAGATTAAATTGCTTATCATCTACAGTTTACTTTATATCCACAGTCAAAATGAAGATAGCATAAAATGTACTCACGAGATCTATCATAAGCAATTTCGTTCAGTTCTTCAAAACAGGATATTTCAACAATTTGACCACCTGGTGTCGGTGGCCAGCAAGAAATTCCATCCCACACTGCATTGCAGTAAAGTGACACATTTCCTGTTGAAAAACAAAACATATTTGTTCCATGAAGTATATTTCATATCTGGAAATTACAATATGAAATTATTATGTAAATAATATTTTTGTAGCACATGTAAATCTATACACAAATGTAAAGTTTACAGATCGGCCGATGGTACATTTGAGGTATAGATTATCATATTATTATAGTATCTAAAGTTATTGAGTTATGTTCATACTTCAAATTATTTAATTGCCATAAGGTTAGTTGATAGGATATTGGATATATAATTGCTTATTTCACTTCAGTTGATATAATGAACAATATACATAAGACTAAAATTGTTTTACATGTGATATTAAAACATAGTTCAGTTATTGTTATACAAGGTGCTTATTTTTCTTGTTGAATGCAATAAACACGTGACTGGTTTATCATTCTTGGAACAAGAATTATTGATATTCCTTTGCACCAGTATATATAGACAAAAAGTTGGCCAGTGACATTTTAGTTCAAAATATAATTCATTGATAGAAAACCAAAGGCTCAAATTTATTGATAAACTACGCTCCGTAATTTACAAAGTAAAGACGTCGTATGCTATAGTTATTTTATTACGTACAGCTCAACTGTAGATATGCTCTTTTGCGTAACAATCCAATACCCATTTGCACTTTGCCTTCTGCCCAACGCTATAATTACTGACTTACGTACAGACTAATTCTACTCTCTTGCTCACAGCTCAACACTACAGGTCCCCCGGTGGGTCAGTGGTGAGTTTAGGATTTACATTGCAATAATCCGGGGCTCAATATCCCTAGGTGGACACATCAGATAGCCCAATGTGGCTCTGCTTTCACACAAACACGCACAGTATTATAATTACTCTCTTGTGTACGGATGAACGCTACAATTACTCTTATATGTATAGCTCGATGTTATAGTTTCGGTCTTACTTACCTTTTGTATACAGATTTATAATTTGTTTGTCCTATTCTACACGTGTGGATTAGTTATACCTACAACTACATTGTCCTTATTCAAATATGCATTTAGTTACATACATTATAATGTACATTTAAATGCTTAAATTTCTACTGTATGCAAACAAAACGTTACAATAGCGTACATAGAATTTCTATCTCACAGTTAAATATTTAACTGCTGTTTCGCATATGAGAAGCTTCTAATTACTATATTGCACAACTGTTATATATTCCTTAACTGTTTCTCTTCGTGCTTAGTTCTCCCATATCTTATTTGTTTTATATATTTTCTTTTAGGATTTATGATCGTTCAGTGAATGTTATAATTAAAGCAGAACAATATCTGATAATTCTAAAATTTATTTTATTTCATTGTTTTATATAAGCTTTCTTGAGCCTGACAATTGCTCATGGTTCCAATTTTCCAAAACCCTTTTGAGTAGTATGATCAGTCGAATATATACTAAATGATATAACGTGTACAATACAAATAAAAACAAAATTTCAGGTCTTGTTGTTCATCTTTTGTAAATACATAAGGGTACATTTTGACCCTTGCCACGATACTATTTTATGTGTTTGACATCATTGTAAAACGATTTTTTTTTAAGAAATGTGGTTCATAACTTTAATCCTGGTATCATTTTGTGTGACGTGAAACTTGTAGGCTATTCTTGCAGCAATTACAAAACCCTTTTGAAAACTGAGACTGCTTCAGGGAATTCACTTCTGAACTAATCTCTCACCACATGAATAACTCAAGTTTGTTTAAATATCACTGCAATAGATTTAAATCGTTTAAAATAGCGATAAATTATCTTTTATTTCCAACGAACTGAGTTCTCTAAATGTCCTGGTGCTTGGTTTTCTTTTCAGATATGTAAAATGAGAGAAAGTTTTTGTTAAAGGGTCTTGTTTACAATGGTTATTGAGAAAATCACAAGAATGTGAAGCTATGTGTTAACACTGAAAATTAAGTTTGATCTTTTGGAAATGGCCCTCCAGGCATTGTTATGTATTTATTTATAAACTTAAATAAAACCAGATATGCGTGAACATGACATTATTTCACTTTTCTTGTTAGAATAGTTTAAACATTCCACTATACAAAGTGGCCCAAAATAATCTTTCGTATTTTAAAATTTAATAATTAACTAACTAAGAAAGTACAACCATGCAGTTTTTAACATCTTGTAGCCAAACTCAAACACTTTTATTGACGTGTCAGTAGACTTCTAGGTGTGTACCATTAGTGGCTCTCAGTACGTCTAACCGATATTCGATTTCACTCTACATTCACTACAGTAACAGTAGCGATGGCGTCCGTTATTTTGGTCTTTAGCTCCGTAATGTTTGTTACAGGTGTGCGATACACGATATCCTTAACATACCTCCATACTTTTTTCCTGTACTGGTGTCTGTAATAACGCTGTACCACAGTTACTGACTTGGTCGCTGCAAGCTAAATAACTCATTCAGCCTTTTCTTGCACGGTTGCCATTTCACAGAGTAACACTATTCACTTGAGTGAAATATGACAATAAAAATTGTTTGAGTTTGGCTACAAGATGTTGAAACTGCATTGTCGTATTTCCTTAGTTATGTGATAAGTGAATTTTAAAATTGGAAAGACAATTTTGTACCACCCCACATTTTGCTCTTTATTCTAGCAAATCATGAAATTAAGCCTTTAAAAAGAATGGTTGGCACCATTTGTTAGTTACAATTGTTAAGCATTGTCGATGGCACGTAACTAATCACATATATTCAAAAAACACTCTCATAGCTCTCATTGCTTAACACTATTCTTTTATAAAATGTTTTTTACTCTTCTGTGGAAAATAGATCAGAATTTTTCTTTAATCCGAGGGGAGTTCATGATCTTTTTTTATTGTCCTGCAAATTGACAAAGTCAAAAATTTGTATTTACATACATTTGAAAACATCCACGAACGTAAATATATGAAATTTAAATAGCCAGTAAATTTGCATTAAGGTAAGAAAATGTTGCCTAATTAGTGACATCGAAATATTTTGTAAGGTTATTTCCTAAAAGAAACGCATCAGATAATAAAATTGCGAAAAAAAGCAAATTCAAGACGCTCTTTCCCTAAAAAGTCTCTCAACGATCACAAAACAAAACAAAATACGACAATCTAGTTGCTTCAGCCCTGACTGGAGAGTAAAATACATAACTGAGAAATAGCCAGTCTTATAACTCCAACGAACATTCTCCACGTTTCTCTCTAAGCCTTGTGTTATCTCCTTTGTTTAAGCTTGTGTTCATCCCTGATGAAGTTGTAAAGAGGTTGTAAAGAGAGTACATTAAAGCAAAACAACGATGGAGCCTCACCATGTCGCTACATTTTATGTCGCCATGTCCTGTCATGCTCTGATGGCCGTGAATCTTGAGCCTTGAAAATAGCCCTGCAGCGTAGTTTCCAGTACAAAAGGCTCTACCATAAGGCTATCATTTCCAAAACACACCACTCCTCCCTGTTCTCTTTCCATAATCCATCTAGTATACGAAAACGACTGTTTCCCAGCACCTTTTCAACAGTCTAGTCATACACAAATCCATATACACTGCATCCGGCGACTTGATCAGCATGTTTACGTATGGAATATTATAAATATATGTTAGCTGCTTGACGTATGCGATGGTTGAACTGAGATGTCATGGAAGCAACTTATGTACATGTGACTCCGGATAAATATCCTTCTTGAATATGTTGGGTGCTGTTGCCTGTGGCACGTAGGCGACCTTTGGCATTCACCTTTGTGTTCGTGGATTCTAGCGTGTTACAAAATGCCGCACTCTGTTTATCACAACAGGGTTAAACTTGTTGCAGATCCGTTTCTGGATTGTCCTGGTTTCCCAAATTGGTTCATATTCCATTTGTTTTCCAATGCCAGTATGTAAAACGAATATCCCCCTGTTAGAAATTCTAAATCTCTGATTTGAAAATGTCTTTATGATATGAGTACATGAATATTTTGGGTCGGAACGGGATGTTACATACCATTTCTAAAAGCGATCGATTTTCGATGACATCACCTTACCAGCTAAACGCCAAACGACGTCAAAATATAGTTCTGATATATCCGTTCCACCATGACCTTATATTGGCTATGTTTGTCAAATGATTTGCCGATTTGCATATTCCTAATCGTTTTAATATGACTTACTCAACACTCTGTATAATGAAAATACGGCGATAAAAGCAGAAGCTAACGGTAATTATAAAGTCGTTCTCATTTCATTTACAAACAGAATTCGAATTTCGAAAGTCTTTTGAATTTTCGCACAAAGCTACACATGGTGCTATTTGAACCATGAGCTCTTAGATTCACAATCCAAGCACGCTAACCAGTAGCCCACGCAAGTCCCCATTCAAAACAATAATATTTACTTTCAGAGACCGGAAACACTTCAAGCACTGTTGTGGTAAGTATAGAATATATATCATGCTAGTTGTTTGAGGTTTTGTATATTTGTTGTTGTAATAGGTGCACAATAAAGTCGCTAATAGATGGTGCTATAGGCTACCATAAACATTATTACCGTTCTCTTCATAATAATCAAAATATATGTTAGGACAAAGTAGCATAAATATTGCAAATATTGAGAAAAAAACGATATTTTTTACCTGTTTTCTGGATTAAAGTGTCACTGAGGTAGCATTCCAGTTCGGGTGTAAGGTCGGTAATATCTTCGATGGACGCATGCACAGTTCGGTTAGACGTGAAGTTAGTGGTTTTCAAACCCATCCTTATACTGTAAAATGTATGGTCTAGCCTAAAGAAAATCCACAAATGATACGGTGGTTATAAATTTAAGCTATTTGGAATTATTCAGCTAACAAACTGATAAATAGTGACAGCAGTTAGTACAGATGCTTTAAGAGGCATTCCTGAGTAGCAGTATAAGATGTTTGTCCCCAATTCTAAATGCACCACTAAAGTACTTATTCTTTCTCATAACTCACTAGGTTGTTAAAGTATAAAATAGCTTTATAAATCAAAGGAAGTTTCAAGAAGGGGCGTGTGTGTACTCACCCTGAGGTAATGAGTAATGCATAAATTGTTACAGAAATTCATCACTTAGTGTGAGGTATTTCAGTTAATCATTAATGCAAGTTCGGAAATAAATTGAAAATAATATTTATAACGCTTTGCAGTGTCATGTAAAATAACATTTTTCAGGTAATAAGCTGTCTTTAATTTTCACACAGCTGCAAGTGATGTGGATTTTGGATAGCTTATTTATTAATAATGATAATAATAATTCATACTTACCTTGATAAAATGATATGCATGTAGTTGCAGATTCATGTTGTTTATGTAAACAGAAAAACGTATTGTTGTTCAATACAGTGCCATAACGTTACTTGGAAATTGTCTCCTGTTACAGCTTTCAAATTCCTAAACACCAATGTCTGTGTGTTGTTCCTTCTAATTATGTATTTGAAATTTGGTTAATAAACATTTTACTGCAATTTTAAGCTAGTAAGTTTATTGAAATCAAGAACAATAGCCCTCGATGTGTATTACTGTATGTGGTGAATGGACCTCCTAGGGAAAGTTCTGCCTGTACAATTTACTTCTCTGAGACCCATGAAGGGGAGGAAGGGATCCTAGTGATTGATTTGTGTCTGAGACCTTGCAACAAACTACTTGGCCATAATTAAGCAATGATCCCTGAAGCAGAGATTAATTTCCTATCATCCTGAAGGAAACTGGTGGCAGTCAATGTCATTTAACTCATGTATTACAATGAAAGCTGGAGTAAGAAAGCAGGCCATCCTTCATCACTCTCTCGGACCTTAAACATTACACGGACCCTACTAACCCACCTTTTCTTAACAACTGTGTGAAAGCAGTCAGTTATAGTATTCTCCAGGTAGCTGTCCTTGTGATCCCTAGACCTTGACAAGTTTTCCAGAATGTTCTTGTCCAATCAAGATATATATTGAATTAACTTCACTTCCAATATCTCTTTCACCAACAGCTCCAAGGTCATTTGGGACAAGATTCTAAAGTTCAATGAGAAGTATACCTCCCACCTTTTTTAATTTTGTAACCAAATGGTCATGAGGTTGCCGATTTACAGGATATTGCAACACCCTTGAAGAGTGCTTTTCTCACCAATCCAGCACATCCATGTATTTCCTTTACTCGATCACCTTACGCGACATGAAATGTCAATGAGGAAAGCCTTCCTTAAGAGGAGGCATCTAAGTTCAATTGTCTTTGGTTTTCAGAAGACTTGTAATACCACGTGGAGGTTCAGTGTTTTGCAGGACCTCCATTCATGCACTTGTGTGGAATTTATCCAATTTCCTTCATAAAGTTTAGCTGAGAGATCATTCTGAGTTCGTGTGATATCAATATTACCCTCATGCTTGATGTAGGAACTTGGAGTACCTAAAGGCCGAGTCTTTAGCATCACACTTTTTAGCATTAAGATCAACGCCATAACCAAACAACTTCTTCCTGCACTTGCAAACAGTATCTATATTGATGACTTTTAAATCATCTGTCAGTCATCGAATATAAGATATATATATATATATATTCTTCTCAAGAAGTCGATAAGCCGTCTTAACGTTGTTAGAACAACGGGTAAAAGTTGTAGTTAGTGATGACTACCACAACCCTATCAAGACGTCTAACAATGCACTTACAAAATGGAGCCATCAAAGAACACTG